AGGAGCCGAGGGGGCGCCCCCCGCCAAGCCTGCCCGAGATGGGGACCCTCAGGCCCAGGTAGGCATGTGGGGGTGATCAGATGGCGCGGCGGGCTGGGGGCTTGGTACATATAGACCCATCCCCCAGCTCTAGGGGAGGACTGGGGTGGAGACCGGGAGGTACTGAGTTTGCAGGCTGTTGGCCCCCTGGCCAGTGTGGAGGAGGTCCTTGGTGTTCCTCCCTACCCCCCAGGTCTGCAGCCTCCCCAAGGCCTGGAGAGAGAGGTGGTCAGGCGATGGGCTGGTGCTTGCCTTAGGGATGAAGGGTTGCTGGGTGCTGGGCTCCCTGGGCTGGTCCACTCTGTTCTCTGAGACCACTCCTGCTGCCTCCAAGGAGGCTGGGGGCTCTCTGGATCTCTCTGTCCAGGCTTCAGATGCTGCAGGACAGTCTCTTGGCTGGAAGCTGGGATGCTGCGGGGCTCCTGCCCTCACCCTCACCCTCTGGTTACAGACCTTTTCCCACTCTGGGCTCACTTGGTATCCCACCTCCCTTCCAAGTCTCTCAAAGCTGGGGCAATGGACCTTAGCCCTAGGACCTCTTTGGTTCTGGCCTGGTGTTGTCCTGGCCAGAGGCTGCCCCCACTGATTAGAGGGAGAGGACTTGCAGGTCCCAGTTGTGTCTGGCACCTTCACACTTGGAGATGTCCAAGAGCTCAAGAGGACAGGCATAGGGGGTCAAGTGACTACCAGGGTACTTACCGGGTGCTGAGGCCACTGCCTGGTAGAGCTATGGCCCGGGGTGGTGTGTGGGGATCTTGAGGGGCTGGACAAAGACTAGGAGGGAATTCTTAGGATACCAGTGTCCTTCTTAGCTGCCAGCCATGGCCCTTGCTTTTCCCCCCAGAGCTCTGAGGATGCATTGGTGGGAGAGAGACACTACCACGTGTTCCCACCTTCACTTCTGGATCTGCATATCACCTCCTCTGCACCCAAAGGTGGGAGTGTAAGAAGGCTGGATTTAGGACCTTTCTGGGGCCGTGTGGGGTCCAGCTGCTCCATTTCTCCCCCACTTCCCAGCATTTAGAGTCTTCCAGAATCAGCAGCAGTTGGGCCAGGTTGAGAGCTGGGGTTGGGAATGGTGCCCTCAGAAGCTCCTGGAAGGCTTGATGCTGCCTGTCCTGGGCAAGGGTGTGGAGAATAGAGGCTGCTGTGTGGCCCGCCTGCCCACCCATTCCTCCAGATGGAGCTTGCAGCAGAGGCAGCCTGTGCCAGCCTCCTCTCTCAGCCACTGTGGCCCAGGAAGGCTCTGCCAGTTCGGTGCGGGGATGAAGCTAGCTTCTGCTGGCCAGCCTGAGGTCATGCCTGACCAGCGACCCCATGCACAGTATTTGTGGTGTGCAGAGCATGGTCCCTTGTGGGGCACCTCAAGGCAGTCCTGGAGAAGATAAGTGCAGGGGGCATTATTCCTATTAAAACCCCTCCTGGGCCACGTGGCGGTTCTCTGTGCCCAGCTCTGTGAGCTTCATGGAGGGTTGCTTCCACAGAACCTGCATGAGAACAGTGCTTGATCCTGTCGTCCTCACTCAGTAAGTATTGAAAGGCTAAATGAGGCCTAGAGAGGAAGAATGACTTGTCCAAGGTCACATAGCAGCTGAGTTGTAGAGCCAGCACTCATGTAGGTTTCTGTCTCTTGGTATGGGATTCTTGCAGCCCAAATGCCTGCTTCCCTGTTGCTGTGGATGTTCCATACACAGGACTCTGACAGGGGCTGAGCATTATAGCCTGGAGCCTGAGGCTACCCCTCAGGAGGGGCCTTACATTGGCCTCCCAGCCCTTGCCCCCAAAAGGTGAGGAGGAAAGGCCAGGCAGCCTCACAGATAATGGGCCAGGGCTGAGGCAGCGGGCAGCTGGTAGCTGTGGACCCTCTTGGGAGTATACAGAGCCAAGAGGATGCTGGATGCCCGGGATGTTCTGGGCCTGAGCCTCTGGGGGCAGTGGAGAGGGTCTCCTGACTAGACCTGCCGAGATGGGAAGTGCCTCTGTGTTAGCTCCAGCGTGGATTTTGCTGTGGGCCTCTCTGGGCTTCTGTGTCCTCATTTATTAAAAGGGGATAATAATCTCTACCTGGAGTAATACCAATGATTACACAATCAGAGTGATGGCATTGATTGAGCACTTACTGTATGCCATGCACTGGGGTGATAAGTGCTTTGCATTATCTCACAGCGACCCTGTCAGGCAGGTGCTATTATTATCCACTTTTTACAGATGAGAAGCTGAGGCTCCGAGAGGTTGTAGCACCTGCCTGAGGTTACACAACTGGGAAGTGTGGGGCTCTCTGAGTCCACATCCCCTCTCTCTACCGTGACATTATACCTGGGGCAGTGATGGGAGTACCAGGTTGGTGTCCAGCAGAACCAGATGACTGGGCTGGTCCAGGTAGAGAGGTCTGTGTTTTGGGTCTGGTGAGGCAAGGGTGGTTCTTTGGCCCGAGTGCTCCTGTTGTCCTGAGGGGTAGGGGCAGAGCGGTACTGGCTGGGAGCCCTGAGAGAGGGGTCGGCCTTGGCCTTCTGCTTCCTGGCAGGATTCCCTAGAAGTGGGAATGCTCTGGACTCCCTGCCAGCATTGGCTAGCAGGGAAGACTGGTTGGCTCTAAGACTAGATGGCCCTGATACTCGACCCCTGCCACATTTGATGGGACCCTAATGACAGAAAGCAGAAGAGTGGGAATGCAGGGGCTCCAGCTGGGACTATGAAGAGGAGGCCCTGTAGGGAGGGGACCTGAGCCTGGGCTGATGAGTGGGGGTGGGAGCAGGTTGGCACTGCTTCCTTTGTGGGCGGGAGGCTTGTGGATAAGAATAGTAACAACTGACATTTATTGAGCACTTATTATATACCAGGTGCTGTTTTAAGGGCTTACCTGTACAACTCATACAATCGTCACAAAACCCTGTGAGGTGGGAATTCTTCTTCTTCCCGTGTTACAGATTGAGGGAACTGAGGCTTAGAGAGAGAAAGACAGTTGCTCAAGGTCACAAAGCTAGGTCGTGGGGAGCCAGGATTCAAATCCAGGCAGCGTGGGTCAGAGCCACGTTCCTGATGGCCATGCCAGGCAGCCTACAGTTCCTTTTCAGAGTCATACTCAGTTTTGTTCAATTTGAAAAATATTCCCGGAGTACCTCCTGCCTGCCAGGCCCTGTGTGACCTCTGAGGAAACATACCCCTCAAGGACCGGCAGTCCAGCTGGGAGGCACGAAGGCAACACAGGGAAGGTAGAGGGTTAGCTGTTGGCATCTGCTAAGCGTGGATTCCTATTTGGGTGATCAGGGGATTGGGGCCTTTGCGCTGGGCATCAAAGGCCAAGAGGAATTTTGATAGTTGGGGGGCAGGGGTACCCACTCCCCTGGGGCAGAGAGGAAGGAAATAGGGATGCTTTTGAAGAAGAGCAGGTGGTCTGGTGTGCATGGAGCAGATGGTGCAGGGGGCTGGGGGCACTGGGAGGTGACTCAGAAAGTCAGCTCGTGTTTGGGTTTTTGGCAAAGCTCTGGAATCCAGCAGACCTAAACTCTAATCACAGCTCTGCTGTGTACTAGCCACATGCCCTGGTCTGAGCCTCAGTTTCCTTATCTGTAAAATGAGATAAACACAACACACCTATCTCACAGAGACCAAGTTATGGTGGTTGTTATGTAAAGGACCTAGCGCAGTGCTGGCACGTCACAGGAACTCAGTAAACATTACCTCTCTCCTCCTTCCGTCTCTCTTAAATGTCAGCCTCAGGTGTTTCCACTTGACAGGAGCCTGGAGGCTCTGGTAAGTTTTGCAGGTGTTTGGTCTGCATGGGGCGTGTACTGGGGCATGACAGAACTGTGTTTGGGAAGGTCCCTTTGGCGACTGTAAGAACCACAAGGAGGGGGTGGACTGCAGCCTTGCAGGAGAAACGTCAGCCCTGTGGTCTTGGAGGGCTGGGGCAAGGAAGGTTGAAGTTGCACTAAGATGTCCCCTGGGGTGGTGGGTTGCTCAGCTGGTTGGGGGAGGAGCAGCTTGGAGTGGGGAAGGCTACAGGGGTCACAAATCTGGTTTGAGGCCTCAAGAGTTTAAGACGAAAGACTCGTCTCCCTTCAGTCATTCCAAAGGTTGCACAGCATCTTTGTGCATCTGGCTTTTTTTTTCTTTTGAATAATTTCCTTTGGATGAATCCCCATCAGAGCTTCTTCTATAATAGCAGCAAATTGGGACTAAGTGCCTGACAATAGGAAGATGATTGAGAACGTTTTGGAACATCCAGTGGATAAAATAATACACAGCCGTGAACAGCCACAGAAATACTTATCCTTGCAGCGTATGGAGCTGTGCACTTGCAAAGCTCTTTTGCATCTTTTATTCATTTCATTTCATTTCATTTCATTTCATGTCCCTGTGACAGAGGTGGGACAGGGGTTAGATCCTTCCTGTGTATGAGGAGATTCAGGCTGAGTTCTAATCTCCTGGAGGGAGATTCAGAGTTCACGTTTTATTCATTGTTCTATCCTCAACATGTAGCTCCATGATTTGCAAACGCTTGTCTGGTGAGAGAATTGGTTGAGTGAGGGGAAGATCAGAGGGGAAGTGACTTGTCCAAGGTCATGCAAGTAGTAAGACCCAGGATCTGGTCTCCTCATCCGTGCTTATCATGTTCTTACTACTACTCAGTTATCTGGGAGGGGAGCAGGGCAGAGAGGTTCCCAGCGAGGACTTGGGAGGCACACGGACCAAGGCTTAAGTCTACTTTCTGTCCTTCCTAGCTGCCAGGCCTTGGAAATTAATCTTTTTAAGCCTCAGTTTCCCCAGCTGCAATGTGGATAGTCCAGGTACCTGCTTTTAGGGTTGTCGTCAAGACTAAATGATTTAAGGTGTGTAAAACTCTTAGCATAGTAGCTAGCACGTAGTAAAACACCTGTGAATTTTAGCTGTGATGATGATGATATAGTAATGTGGAAATATTTCCGATACAATTAATGTTATATGAAAAAAAACCCATAAACTTATGAACACTCAGATTAAAGTGGTGTAAAATTAGGTATGAGCGTAGATACAGAT